CTGTAATGCAGATATGAAAATCTATTGGCAGATATCAGTAGTGATTTTTTTTTCTGGGTTATAGCTTAAAAAAAAATCAGTCCTAGAAATACCCACAGACTGGGTCCCACAGACTCAAAGTTTGGATTCATCCATCTACATTTAGGTTTATTTGACATAAGGTGCAAAGAAACACTCTTCCCCCCCCTCCTTGCCCCCCCCCTTTTTTTTTTCTCCTGGATTTTATTCCAAATATGGAAGAAAGAAAGGCGAGAAGGAGGATGTCTGTCAGTAGCCACAGGTGCCACCACCGCCCTGTGCTGGGGGCAGTGGCAGGACAAAACTCCCTGCTTGTGGGTTGCTTTTTGAATGGAAGATGCTACACTGCTCACACTGTTTGATTTGCAAATGAAAACAGGTCACTCCTCAATGCCGAGGCCAATGGCAGGGATTCTGCAGGTCTTACCAACTAACTGCTCTGCTTTGCTAGACTTTTTCTTAATGTATATCTTCTCTTTGGCTGTGGTCACTCCTCTGCCCACTGTTCATATGCCCACTGGCATAAGAAAGACCATGTCATGCTTTCCTTGCAAGACATACAGGAGCAGGAAGAGTGTGGGAGAAGAGCAAGGGACCTCTTTACCATTTTTATATTGTGCGGTGTGTGTTGGATGCTAGAATGCAGAAAAATAAATCTGCTCATCAATAAATAGATATGAGAAGAAATTACTTCTTTCATCATCCTGGTAGGTGATAAGCCTGTAGCAATTTATCAGCTGTCCACTAGAAATAAATGTCTGTTGTCATTTTCTCACATTTAATAACATTATAATTCTCTGTAATTTTAGCTGTTCATCTCAACTGCTACCCTTTTTTTTTCTTCTTTTTGAAAGAGTGAGCTTAGAAGAGAAAGGATAGTTTAACAAGGCTTCCTCCTTTCTTTGCCAAGCCAGCAAAATTATTGTAAACACCAAATTAATTATTTGGATTCATTAATCCAGAAGATACCCACTTGCCTAAAGTAGAATAAACACCAAGCAGTCTCACTTGGATGTTCAGTGGCTTTGAATTTGAGCTTGCTTTTACACTACCAGCATTATTGTCTCAACTTGCTGTCCCAGAGCCACTACTACATTTTTCTATCACCCTCTGGGAGATGTCCCCACCCTGTGTGTCAGGTAGAGGAGATGAGGGCCATATTTCCTTATCATGAGTAAACCTTTCCTATAATTCTAGACAGCACAAGCTGAAGTTCTTTAGTCCTTCAGCAAGCATGGCTAGTAGGCAACCTGCTGGAAGCTTTGTTTAAGTGGAAGGGGGTTTTTACACAATTTGATAGAAAGTGAATAATACCATCTCTCCATTAGCATCTGTTCTACCCCAATAGGAAATTAACATTATTCTAGACTACACCTACACTTTCATCTTTCAATATGACTGGGCCTAATTATACTGCAGGGGTAATCAGCAGCAGAGCTGGAGCTTCTGGTTGTTGAGTTTGGGATAACTGGAGTTTGAGGCTTCTGGGAAGACATGGCAGAAGGTTTGCAGTAGGAAGACAAATACCTGCTAAAAGTAGGTTATCTCCCTTATCTAGATGACCAGAAAAGATATAGTCTGTGGTGCAGCTGCCACACCAAGGTACACGGGATGGCTTTTTCCTGTCAGAACATGGCCTATAGTAAGAAAAGGAGGCACTAAGTCAAAAATCTTATATTAGAGCTTCTTAAAACATTTGCATGGAAGATAGATGAGGATCATGCCATATATGTGATCCATCACAATAGAATGTCTCTAGAATGGGGTAAATTCATGCTATTCCTAATGTGACAGACTTCTCTTGAGGAGGTAAAATCACTGCAGGTTGCACTGGTTTAGGTTGGGCTCTGCAGGAACACATCTGTTATTCTGTTGCGTCTTAAAGCCCTCTATGTGCCCTTGCACAAGAATCTCTTCCAGCTGGGCTATTCTCCCTTCTCCCATAGATACTCTACTCCTGGCCAAGCAGTGGTGAAACTCTCTGTCTTGCAATAGTTATTTTTGTGTGAGAAAGACACTACAGGCTAGAGCCTTCCTCCCAGGCAGGGACTGGCCTCATCTTGTGCTCTTGCCTGCCTGAGTGCTATCTCTTCACACCAGCTGGCCTGGGATGGGTAACCTCCCTTCCCTGGCATAGTTTTGAAAGAAAACAGCCTCATGAAGTATTGCTTGAGCCTATCTGTGAGATCTGGATGGAGTTTTGGCACCTTCTGGCCTCTGTTTGAATTGCAGATTTTTTTTTACAAGAGGAATTGCTGGGCTTTTCCAGAGTAGGAGCCTCCAACCCTGTACTGGTATTTCAATAACCAGTAAACCCTGCAATTTAAAGCAGAGGCACTGCTGGGAGGACACTCCCAGGACAAATCTAATTATTCCAGTGGCTGTGATCATTGCAGAAACAGAGAACTGCTGAGGTGGGATACTTCTGGATAACCCCAGAAAAAAAAATTCAGTGCTGGAGGTTTTTGCATAAAAAGTAACATAGCTAAAAATCAAATTCTCTAACAATCCCAAATTTGCCTAAATAAATCCCACATTCACTGGGAATATCAGCACATGAACAACATATACCAGACACGCATTTAAAAAAGGAGGCCTTTCTGCATCACATTTTTAAATGGACCCAACTCCTCCAACTCGCCTTCTCCAGATCTGGCTTTGAAATTATTTACAGCATGTTGTGAGCTTGTAATCATCTCTGAGATAAAGCATCTCAGCTCTAAAGGGAAGCTGAAATTTTTATGATGCAAATATTTTGAAATAGGGAAGTCATTCCTTCTTAGCCTTTCATAGCAGATCATGACATGTAATTACAGTAATTTTACTGCAGAGCTACAAATGCAAGCATAAGGAAGGCATGTGGGCAGTCCTGCATGGCTGAAGGGATGAAGGACTTGTAGATCCTCAACTTGCAAACCCTGGGTCAGCTCCAGCCCTGAACACAGCAACTGTCACATATGTGACAAAAAAAGATTTCAACTCACCATTATCATCCTAGTGACAGTAGTCCATATTTTTTTTCCTCAGGTTATCCACAGTGTAATTACCCACCCCCCACCTAGTTAAGAAATTGTGCCCTGTTCTTCATCTGAATCTGCCTGGAACAATCTTTCAGACACCTTTTGTTATAGTACAAGAGATTCATCCTGGTTTTAGATTTCTGTATGCAAGTATCTATACTCAGAGCTTAAGCCACATCTCAGCTTCTTGTCAGTGAGCTGAATAAGTTGAGCTGCTTAAGTTTCAAGTCATGACTTATTTTCCAGTCCTGGAGATATTTGTAACCTTCTTTTGAATTCTCTCCCTCTCTGTGTCCTCATTATTTCTATGTATTTTCTGAGGTGTGGATGAATAGCCATAAACAGTTAGACCAAAGGTGTATCTAGCCTAGTGTTCTGTCTCCCACATATGGCACAGTAACATTAATAACAGTGTAAAAAGGTGCTGCTTTCTTCCCTGCTGCCTGGTCCAGCATTCGAGTGATGTGAAGCTCATTGTCCTACACACATGTGCTCTTAGCCTGAACCAGGATCACTTGCAGTTTTCTGCTTGACATTCCTTGTTGTATGGATCCAGGGATCACATTAGCATATTTCTTCCCCTTGCAGTGCCTCAGAAGCTCACGTTGACCCACTGTCTGTAAATTTTTTTAAGTCCTCCATGGAGCTGCAGCTTTCCAAGACAGCTTACTAGCTCTAGCAAACAAAACACACTGTCTGATGGAGCCAGTACACATGATCCTTCAAGCTAAACTCCTGTCCTTATCTGGAAAGCCACCATGTATTGTCTCCTGAGCTAGGATACCAGTTTTTCCAGAAAGAAACATTCTGCACTTCCACATTAAAGAGTGCAGAAGGTGAGATATTAGTATTTGACTTCAGACCACTTCCAAGCCTACCTGCTTTTCACCTCATATTAGGAGAGTAAGCCTTTCCTGCTTTCCAGAGATTTTAGCTTGCAGGAATGTGACTTGCAAACTTTCAATGATAGAGCTGTTCTAAAAAGTGTGAGAGCTATTTGTAGTAAATAAAATATATTTAAATGTATAGTCAGCTCTTGGATTTTTTGAGACAATCAGCAGAGAAGGCTTAAAAACTAAAAGCAGCTTGACTGTCTTTCTAAAAGAAAACTGAGATTTCCTCATAATACTCTAATTGCTGTAGGTGTTAGGACATGAAAAGTTACGGCAGCATTATAGAGGAAGGAATGAGTTGGCAGTACTGCCCCCACCTTTATTTCCTAGGACTTCTAAATGTACATGAGAGAAATCACATTCAAATCTCCAGGTGTGCAGGTGTTTCTGCACCACCACGCATTTGCTCTGGTATGCACAGACCCCCTCCTCCCCCCCCATTCTTGCTATCCTTCATGTATTCTCACCCCTGTATCCTGTGTCTGCTCTTCAGCATCACAGGCACAGGCAGACATATTCCAGCTCCCTTTATCTACAGCCATCATGCAAGACCTACCCCCTCACCCACAAGTACATATTCCAAAATCAGCGCATATAGACCAGACCCTGCACTTGCACACTTAGAATGCATTTAGAATTTTATACTGGAGACATGAAAAGACACACAGGGTCCCTGTTTGCCAGGCACTCAAGGTGCCTGAATCTTTTTGAGGGGGAGCTTCAGCAAAATGCCTTTTGCAGCTTGCTGGGGTTTGGAAGCCACCAGCTAGGTGTGTATAGGTCTGAGCTGCTCTTTCCCAAATTGAGTGGTTGTGATAGATTATATTTATACCTCCACTGTTCCAGCCGTTCACAAACCATCCCACTCATCTCTTATATTAGAAGGCTTCTACCTAATATTTTTTGAGCTGGGCATATGGGACCATGATTATATCATCTTTATTTGTTTTTCTCCATTCACTCTCACTCCTCCATTATTCTCTCTCCCCGCCGATACCATTTAAGGATCCACTAAAATATTACACAGTGGTTTTTACTCATCACTGTCTTTTTTCCTCCTTTTTGGCAGATGCTTACCCCAATTCTGAAGTGATCTATGTGTGGACTAACAGCACCACAACGTCTGTGGTGGTGGCCGAAGATGGCTCACGACTTAACCAGTACCACCTGATGGGACAAACTGTAGGAACCGAAAACATCAGTACCAGTACAGGTACAGAGGATATTTCCATCCCATAGCTGCTAATAGATGGAGTGGGAGGGGAGATCCACAGGCTCTGGTTATTTTGCAACAAGGCTAGAGAAGTATGCGTGGGATGTGGAGCGTTAGGGAGATCCTGTGCAGGTTCATGGCCACTTAGCAGAGACACTTAAACACTGAGAGGATTATGTGCTGGCTCTTAGGTACATTGCAAGTCTGTTGCTAAAGATTCATCCAAGCCCCTGCTATTTACAGGAGTGCCGGAGAAGCTGCACGCAGCTTCTTGGCGATCGCCTTTACTGAGGCTGCCGGTGCTATTGCTGGCTTATTTTCTCGGGGGAGGAACCACCCTGGGAGGCAAACACCACCCACGCATTTGATCCGTTTCAATCATCGCTTTAAAATGATTGCCTGATGAGACCGCGGGGGGGAGGGGAAGGAGGAGGGAGGAAGGGAATGGAGGGTCAAGTGGGGGCTGTGGCTTGGCTTGGCTTGGCGTGGCTCGGTGTGGCTCTGCAGCGTGTCCAGGGGACCACGTGGCTGGAGAGGAGGTGCAAACCCCGAGGATCCCCATTCCCTCCGAGGCTGCAAGTGGAGGTGCCAGATGTGGCAGCATTAGGGAAGCAAAGAAGCTTTAATCCCAGGCCGGGCATCCACGTGAGCCATGCCCCCCTGCTTCTTAAGGCTCCCACGCAAGGGCAGCCCTGGGTGTGCATTGGTGCCGGGGGGGCGGTGACTCCCGAGGGGGTCGAGGCCGGGACAGAGATCACGTGCGCTCAGCAGGACGGGGGCTTAACCAGGTTACACAATGCACTCAACTGGAGAGCATTAGTGGCATCCATCGGGGCAGGGAAGAGGGGGAATGAAATAGCCTGCTATGAAGGGAAGGCTGGGGAAAGGAGCAGTCTGTGACAACATGGCTGGGAGCAATTCCTGCAGGAAAAGCCCAACAGAGTCTGCTGCTGATACATTGTATGCCTGGTGAAAAATGATGGGCAGAGTTGTAGAGGACAAAGTATAGATTGAATTAAGAACCTGTTAGTATCTGCAGGAAATGTAGGAGTTGTGAAAACAGGTACACGTACACTTGCCCACAAAGTTAGCTGGACCGAAACATGAAGATGCATAAATCTTTGTGCTCCAGACGGCAAAAAAAGAGGGAGCATCTGAGCTTGCCGCTTATGCTTCAAACAGGACACAAAGTGAGGGAAGGCTTGCCATGGGCAGCCACTAAACACAACTGTCATCTCCATCCTATAGACCTTCATCCCCTCCCTTGCACATTGCAGGAGACACAAAGCTGCTGCTAAAGCAAAGATACCTAAAGTCAAGAGAAGCACGTAGACAGAGTGGTCACTTCTGCAGGAAAAGAATGAGTATGCTATCTCCCATGAAAGAGTAAAGACACTTTTTTCCTTACCAGTTCACCATCATAGCCGCGTTGTTTTCTGCAATGAATGGCAGCTCCCCTCTCGCCTTCATTGTTGCCAAGAAAAAGATCCAAAGGATGTACTGGAGCATCTCCTACAAGCTCGTCCTGCTCCTCAGAGCAAGAAAACCATCCAGCCCAGGCAGTGAGTGCTCCAGTGTGTCAGCTCCAGGCCACTTCCAGTTTGCCGCTTTGCCTGTGAAAGCTCCTTGTACTCCTCAGCCCAAGGAAACAGACATATCCCAAAGTTTCTGCACAGTAAACACCTCCCTCATGTATTTAAGATTTATGCTAATAAATGCTTGGTTTCCAACTTCAAGATTTTATATTAATGTCCTGGGTTACATCTGGGCTGGCTGGATTCTGATTGCAGGGTGGATCACAAAGAGCAGGACACAGATTGTAACCGGGGATTAGCAAAATACAAAAATCCGATTTTGCAGAGGGAAAGCATCAGTCAGCGATGGATTTTCTGGACTTCATCAAGCTCGTAGGAGGCCAGTAATCAGCATTACTTACGAATGGCCGTTGAAAGCATTTCTTCCTTCTATTGAATTGTTGAATGTGGAAAAGAAAAACCAAAAAGCTATTGCATAAATCCAAGTGCTTGGATCTTTTGTGGCTTTTATGACACACAAGTCAAACTACAGAGCTCTTGCTGTTGCATAGACAAAATGTTTGTGGATGTCATGGGTCATTTATGCTCTTCTTTCTAGCAGACTCTTTTTTTAAAATGGAAATGCCGGACCTGCACCAATCCCTTGGGATTCTGCTGATTTTGTAGGCAAGCTGCTAAGTTTGGCTAGCTTCTCAGAAAAAAATATCCTGGCATTCCTAATTCATCAGCCAGTCTTGAAATTTGGAACATTTTAACCATGCCACAGAAAACAGCTCTGACATGTGCCACCTGTTTGATTTTTTTGGCTGTTTGTTGTATTTTATGGGGTGTTTTTGTTGTTGGGTTTTTGGATTTATTTTTTTTTTGGTGCTAACGTACCCAAATGTCATTCCACCAAAAGAGAAGATATTTGACTACTCACACCGCTTCCAACAGACCCAACATCTGTTATATCCTGGTGGTACAAGTGCTGAAAACAATCAGATATGAGATTTGAGTCCAAGTGAATCTTGCTGCTTTCCACTAATGGTTGCCCAATCGTGTTCCCATACTCAGAATCTCTCATAGATAACTCAGGATCTGCAGTATTACAAAACAAAAGATAAACCCACTTCTTTTATATTCTGCCAGCTGGAACCTGAGCTCTGTAATATCCAAAGCCTAAATAATAAAAGAATTGTTCAACTCTTCATTTTGCCCCAAATAAATCTGATTTTTTCTGGAGATCAATCGTTCTTCTGCATCACTATAAAAGGACACATGGATTTTTCATGGGCCAAAATGTTCTGGATGTCAGCATAGTCAGGGAGGTGGTGTCACAGACCTAATTTCAGGATCCTGCTAGAACAGCCATTAATAGACCTGAGTTCAGATATATCCAATAAACAAAAAAGACTGGGGTCTTGTCCAGCCTCATTAAGGTACTTGATTGAATCTCAGCATAATGGCAATGGAAGAATGCATGTAAGATCCTGGAAAATTTGTAAGCACAGTCTTCAGAACTCCCTCAACTAGATACTAAAAAAATACTGTAGCAGCTTTTAAAGCACAAAAAACCCCTTAAGACCACCAGCACTGTAGCATAGCTCTGTGAAGAAATGCAGTCATTCCTGCTCTAGGGCTTTTCATTAGTACTAGATTTGTTATAGTTTAATAACAATAGTTTGTTTTCTGCAATGTTGAGTGGACCCCATCAGGAAAAGGATTCTCTTTTAAGTGCTACATAAACCTATAACAAAAATTAGCTCTTGCTCAAGAAAGCTTATGGTCTAAGGATAAACAGTGGCCTTACAGAAGTAAAAGGGAGCTCTGCCGCTCAACAGAGCCAGTATCTTGTTCTAAATAAACAAAGGCCAACTCAGACAGCTTTTAGCTTTACTTTAAGCAGTGGTCCCAGGGCATTAAAAACCAAGCTGTGGGGTTTTCTTAAGCTTCAAATCTGCTGGGGGAAGTATTCCTAGTATAGGCATTTTTGAAAAGGATAGCATGGGAAATCAGAGAAGATATTAGCTGGAAGAAGAGCAAGTGCAAAATCAAAGTGCTGTCATTTCAGTGGAGATGAGGGCTTTGATAGGTTAAAGAAAACGATAAGGTAAAAATCAGCTGTGGAGAGGCATCAACATGTAGGCATTCGTTTTCTGCATTTTAAAAAGGAAAAAAAGGGGTCCTGTACTGCTGCTAAGCTGTGTAGATTTTTATTTTATTATTATTCCGGCTCTGAAAGCATACTGTCAAAATCGATAATACACATCGTCACTCTGTTGCAAGCAGGCAAACTGTGACTCAAACACATCTCAGTGCAGTAGCAACTGAGAAACAGATTACAGGCACACAGACCCTGCTGACTCTTGTCATATTTTAGGGGTAATCCACAAACTAGATACTCCTAAATAAAGAGCAAGTGGGTTTCCTCCTGAGACCATAGCATGTTCAGCATCCCTGGTTCAAAATTACACTAAATGGAAGGGAATTAGGTGATGCTTCACAGGGGTTTTCTCCCCAGTTTCACAGCATTCCCTGTCCTTCTCCGTATCACTCCTCAGGGAACTATTTCACCAGAAAATCAGACTCCAGAGAAAGACATAAAGATTGAGGCAGAATGTCAGTTATTTCTGTGGTTTTTTTCAGTCTTTCTGTCTAAAATCCTCAGCATGAACAAGGTCTGTAAAATGGATCCAGAATAGCAGAGCTCCTGTAGCATAACATATCAGTGCAGCTATACCTGCAAAAACCCTTTCACTGTAAACCTGTTCTCTGCTAATTAGCCATATTGTCGCTTAGAAATAATCTGTCAGATCTAATTACTTAGCAATGCTGGCCACAGCTCAACTCAGGCTATTCACTCAAGACAGAATCAGTCTGTTGTATATTTTCCTTTTGTGGTCTATAGAGACTAACAGTCAAGTCTTGCAACAGAGATTATGGATATATTTGTTTTGTTCTTGGAGGACAATATATATTTCAGAACAGCCATTACTATGATTAATCAGTACCCAACTGAATGATGCATGCTTTTAAATTAATTTTATATCAGTGTGAGTGGACAACTGTTAGGGCTTGAAGGGTTGTGTTGTTTTTTATTCTTACATTTTGGTTTTACTCTTATTTTTCCTAGGCAAATAGTAGCATGCTTTTAGCTGCTTTAGGGCATGCTTTAGGGCTTTGGGGAGCAGTTACCATCATGAATAACCTGGAAAATGATGTGGTTTTCCAGGAACTGTCTGAAAGAACTGGGGACAGTAACCATCAGCAATAGCCTTCAGTAACAACTATATGGTTTTCCAGGAACAGTCTGAAAGAGCAGGTTAAGTTTTGATTTTTTTCTGAAACATTAGGGAAGGTGACAGCTGGTCTGTTGATTTTGGAGTGCATTTTTAGGCTTTAACTGAAATTCAAAGGAGCTGATAAAAGACAAATTAAGGCAATGCTGTGAATTTGGCATACAAAAAAGACATGGAATTTAGCACTGCTGTGGCATCTTTCAGTGAACTCTCCATTCAGGCAGTACAGTATTCATTGTACAGGTGAACAAGACATGACACAATGTCTATCCAGAAACAGATTATTTTTCCAGGGGCTAAAGTGTACCAGATTCTAGGAAAACTGGAGGGACTTTTTCTTTTTTTTTTTTTTTTGTCCTGGAGGAGTAATCTGAAGGGTTTGGGTACTCAGATCAGTAAGACATCCCAGAATCCATATGCAAAGTGGCAATTTTTGCAGCAGATACTGGGACAGGCAATGCCTAAAGTGTGGTGCAGAATGTGTCCAGACACATTTTTATTCTTGAAAACTGATGGCTTGGCAGTAATAGTTGCCCTAATGAGGTTAAGTCCTGCTGCTAAATCAGGTTTCTAAGAGTAGAGAGCCTTAATTGTTACTATGGTATGAGAGTTTGTCAGAATGGGTCAAAAATAGGCAGGGCTGAGGCAGTGCCAGCAAGCCAGATTTTTTAAGCCTGTGGACATCACAGCATTCTAGTTGCATAGGAGGAATGCAGCTTTTCAGTTTAGTAGAAGCAGTCAGTCATTGTCTTCTGCTTGTGGGGAGTGAATGTGAAGACTATGAAGGATTTAGCAGCACCTCTGTCTCAAGTCTTGGTTTTCCACAGTGCAGAAATCCAGACATTTTTCATGCAATTAAGAATGGCTGAGTGGTATCCTTAAACAGGGGGTTGTAGCTGGCCTCCTTAAGTCCCTGATTGGTAAACCTTCTTTGTTTTACCCACATGCACATTTTTCTCCTTCTAGGTGAATATACTATTATGACAGCCCATTTTCATCTGAAAAGAAAAATTGGTTATTTTGTCATCCAAACATACCTTCCTTGCATTATGACTGTGATCTTATCACAAGTGTCGTTTTGGCTAAACAGAGAATCTGTCCCTGCTAGGACTGTCTTTGGTGAGTATCCCCCTCTCTCCTAGAACACAGATAGGATTGGTCTGGCTTGTGGAAGTGATTTGCTGTAACAAAACCACAGTTCACTAATGTTTATTTCTGCTTGAGATGTTGTAGACGTTTCCTCGTTCTCTTCCAGTTCAAACTCAAAATCCATTTAAAAACATTGTCAGTTCTTTTTTCCACAAAGTTGTGACAGAAATTGGTCAAGAATCAATTACATGAAAGTTAAGGACAGAAGACAGAAGAATCAGATTGGTGTGATTTGTGTTGGGTTTTTTCCACTTGGGTGAAATACTGGATGGTTTAGAACAAAAAGACATACAGATTATCCTATTTAGTCTATACTCTAGCTAAGCATTTGAAAGATTTCACTTCAAGACATTTTATCTCTGTTGTAGGATGTTTATCTGGGAAAACCATGCAGAGGTTAATTAGTGATGATTATCTGTATTGCCATCAAACAAATTAATACGAATTTGCATTTAGAAAATGTATATTTACTAAAGAAATTGTTATGGAAAAAACCTTTGGGGTGTCATTAATTTACTTGTTTTATCACTAGAAGATTGGAGAAAGTAAGCACTCTCTTAAGTGAAGGTTGATGAAATACAAAATTTTCACTAGATGAAAAATGAGGGGAGTGGGAACAGTTTATTACATAAAACTTTGTTCACCTGTCCTTAAACAAGTCATTTTTTTGTACAAACCTACTGAAATCAGTTGGCAGCTTTGATCAAACATCAGTTCAGCAAGTTGTATGGGGAGAATACAGGTAACAGCATCCCTTTGCTGACCGAGGGTACCCATTCTAGATTTACAAAGGTGTAACTGAGAGTTGAATTTTGTACTCTTGGGGAAATCTTCCCACAGATGAAAGTAGTGGCAGCTTTGTCAATTACTGGCCTATGGGAAAGGAGGAGCTATGGTCAGGGAAACCAATAACAGTCAACAATTTCATACCTGCAATCTCTGTGTAAGAAAACAAACTAAGTAATCCCACTTTATTCTGACTGTTAAAAACGCTGGGCTTGTGTTACCCTAAAAATACTTATATAAATACACTATAGCTAGAGATAACCAGAACCCCACAGGATTAAATATTTAAGGGTAGAGGCTTTCATTTTTTTTCTTACTCTTTCGGACCATAATGTGCAAACAGAGATTGACTTCATGTGGGCTTCTTAGGTATCTTGCATTGGGACCTGCTCATAGCTCATCAGTGATCCCATAGAGCTTAGGAAACTGATCTCTGCCTCTTTTATTTTTTCCTTCTTTGCAGGAGTAACAACAGTCCTCACCATGACCACCTTAAGTATCAGTGCCCGTAACTCTTTGCCAAAAGTGGCCTACGCTACTGCAATGGACTGGTTTATAGCTGTTTGCTATGCCTTTGTATTTTCTGCATTGATTGAATTTGCAACAGTCAATTATTTCACCAAGAGGAGTTGGGCATGGGATGGCAAAAAAGCCCAGGAAGCTGCAAAAATCAAGGTGCTTAGCTGAGATTTTTTAAATACCTAAAATAAAAAGCAGGTACTCAACATAGTTCAAATAACTGAATAGTCAGTTTTCAGGTTCTTCATGAAAAAGTTAAACTACCTCATGACATATTTTCACCTCCCTATAGAGGAAAATTTGCAAGGAAATATGACACCTTCTCTTCATGGAGATAGACTACTAGTCTCTATCATCTATATGAAGAGGACTTTTTACAGAAGGATATTGGGCATTGAGTCCATGTGGCATGGGATTTCAGTGACCAGACTTCTGATAATAGCAGACATACTATGAAACATATCTCTACAGAGCCCTCCCTCTGTCCTCCTAAATAAATGGCAAAGCTCAATGGAGCCAGGGCTCCACCACAGTATTCCCACCAAAAAAGGGACAAAAGAGCTGTTCTGTGAAAAGACAAACTGTTGAATTTCATGCTGAAATGAAACCTTTGGAATAGGACTGACTCTTAATAAATCATCTCCTAGAGAGAGCTTGTACCCGCAGGCATCCCAGAAGAGCCATACAAAGAGACAAGCTGGCAGGGACAATGAGCCCTTCCCCACACTCTTTACTGCAGCCAGGGAAGCGAGATTCACATCTTGTCAGCTGCCCATGGGGCAGCAACCTCTGCAGGTGCAGGACTGCATCGCCCTGAAAAAAGGAGCTGCTAATGCACATGCCAGGTGGGATGCAGGTCCAGCCAGTCAGTCTCAGCTTACTCTGATGTCAGGGAAAGTTTCACCTGACTAAAGGGCTACAAAATCAAGGCAAAACCATCTGTTCGGTAGTCAAAGTCAGAATAGCCAACGGGCTCTAAGCATGATTGATTATGGTGCTTAGCTTTTTCGGTTAATATCTTGAGAACATATTTCCACTTTCTGTTCATGTGGTCTAAAATATTTGTTCTTTACACTGCAGAAAAAAGAGCGCAACTTGTTGGGAAATAAATCAACTAATACTTACACAACTGGGAAGATGACCCCTGCACCAAACATGCCAAAGGACTCAGCCCCATCTGTCATCTCAAACACTACATCTGCTCCAGTGAAGTCTGCAGAAGAAAAGCCTGCTGAAAGCAAAAAGACTTACAACAGCATCAGTAAGATTGACAAAATGTCACGGATAATTTTTCCAGTGCTGTTTGGAACTTTTAACTTAGTTTACTGGGCTACATATTTGAATAGGGAGCCTGTAATTAAAGGTGCCAATTCTCCAAAATAAACTGAAGTACTCTGAAGCCACATGTGAGCCATACTTACAAAGCAGATGCTACCAAGGAAAATTTGAGATCCAGATGACTTTCTACACATTTGGGCAATATTCTTCAGGAAGTTTTTTGCATGTTTAATAATATGTACAAATAATATTGCCTTGATTGTTTCTACATGTAACCTCAGATGTTTTGGAGACGATTATATTACTTACAGCAATTGATCTTTATAAAAGATCAGAAGACATTGAACATGGCTTCTTTGCTGCTGAGTATCTTGCATTGATAGTTTACAAATAAAATAAGTTATATTTTTTAACTGTTCAGGTGTACTACATATCGTGGTTTTTATACTTCAGATGTACAGTCATTCAAATATAAGCTTAACCTATATTTTACAGAAGAGCTCTACTGTTGTCATCTGATAAGTTACTGAGTAACGCCAGTTGTAAATGTGCCAAATTATTAAGTGTAGGGCTATGTTTGAGCACCTTTACTAGTTACAGGCAGTGCATTGCTCCACAGATAAAACTGCTCAGCCCAATTTTCATTGGAAGTTAAAAACAATGCCATAAATCCTAATGGGACTATGCAGATTTTCACTGCTTGAGACTCTAGCTTGCACTGAAATAACATAGGGAGCAGGATGCTACTTGTGTAAATAAAGTGGTGGAATCTTGCACTTAAATGAAAAGGTTTGTTTGGACTTTGCATTCCAAGAAATTTTGCCTAACAATTCTCAGTATTTATTCCAAAAATTAAGAGTTATATTGCATGAAATTAACATAGATTAGGAACATACTTGTGCAAATAAAACTTTTAACAACAGCAGTAGACATTTTTATCAGGGTAAAGTAAATGATGTTTGGACATTTTCCCCAGAAGAAGATTGTGTTATATTAGCAGAGATTATGCTGCAGTAATTATTACTTGTTTCCCACAGCAAAAACCAGTCAGCCAACACTAAGGGGTGTAATCAGAAAAAAAGATGTACTTCGTGACAGCAAGGTGTTTCAGTGACAATATTGGCAGAAAGGTCTTTGTACTGTCCATCTGAAACTTTTCTATAAAACGCCTTGCTGCTGACAATGTGTTTTGCTTTCACAATGAATGAGAAAATGCAGTCTGAGTTTTCAGCTCTTTCCTCCTTGGCATCCTTTAATTGTTCCAGAAGCTTTTGTATTTAAATCTTAATGTTTAAATAAAAAATGCATTCAACATTTGATTGCAAAATGTCGTTCTTATACTGGTTTTCTTTTTAGAAAGACCAAAACATCACACCATGGGAGCTGAAGAATTAACTGGAAAGCACACAAGCATGCACTTGTGCACACACATCACATAACATGTTTACATGACATGTGCACGTGACACATCCTCCCTGTTACCCAGAAAGGAACATGTCTTGAGTGAAGACAGTGGATTGAATTATTTCAGAATTAGGTTCTGTCTTGCTATGGAGCATCACTCCTGTGATCTTTTTGGGACAGAGAGGAGAGCTTGTGCTTCACTTTGAAATGAGGGTCTGATCTGGGACTGGGTAGCTGTCTGGGCTTCTTATGTGTGTTCTCTTCAACCCTTTCATTCCCAAACATTTTCATTGCCAAGAAAAAATCTCATACATCTATTCCTTTTTGAAGCTTTTTGTTTGATGCTGTGGAATGAGAAATTTGCAAATTCTCAGTGGCAATGGAGAAGCCATGGGATTGGGCAGATGACTGTATACTGATAAAGAGGAGAAAGGCAGGAACGTGCACATCTATTCAGTGCTATCCTGAGCCAAGGTGAGGATGTGGATCTTTGTTTTCATGTAGGCTTCCCATGTGTCTTTGAGCAGCCGCAGACTTCCTTGTTCATCATCCCTTTGGGGGAATCCCTTTGGCCCTTTGGGGATCAAAAATAGTGAAAAATTTCAGTGCCTACTTGGAGGCAAAACTTTATATAAAGTCCCACGGCTATTTCTTGAGATGAGAAACTCAGAGAATTTCATGACTGAGTTTCACGAATGAGAAACTCAGAGCCATCCTAACAGCATCTTCTCCTGGGCAGTTCGTCTGCCCCAGAGTGTTTCTGTGCTTTATTTGCTTACACCCAAGTCTGACTCATACTCTGTATGGCTCAGTAGGATTTTCTGGTCTCTGTTGCAGGACTCGGTGCCAGGACCTCTAACTCTGATCTATTTTACTTACATGGAAAGTCTCATCTTCAACGAGTACAGATCTACCTGCAAACAGCAGAGTAGTATGGCCACAGGATCAGGTCATTTGCTTTATTATAGTATACAATTTGTTGATGTTTACTGGTTATATAGAGGACCTGATATGCCAAAGGCATATGGCACCACAGGCATTCTGTAAAAAATCACTTCCAGTTGTATTGACTGTCTCTTTCTATGTTTGAAGGTAAAGGTGGAAAATAATGATTAGAGCTCATTCTGTTAATGTGGCCTTGCTAAATGAGGTTGAAGTTTCCTAATGCTTGCTGAGAACTGAAATGATAGAAGAAGAAGAAACCACCTTGCAATGTGTGCTTGTGCAGGAACACTAGGTGTTGTCCTATAGTTTGGAAGATGCTTCAATAAACCAACAGATTCCACACTGGAACACTTAAAGGCCACTGCCTCGCATTGCACAATACCTAAAAATTTAAATCTCTCCACAGTCAGTGAACTGTTTGTGTGGGAGACCATTACTCACTGAGATGGCATCTGAAATGTGGGAGATGGGAGCATTTCCCAGATCCTGTCTGAAAGGAAACACCTTGGCCTTGTCCTGCTTCAGGCTGGAGTGGTGTCTGGATGTGCATCAATCTCCTCTGGTTTCCCCTGGAAGTAGCTTGGGCTTTCAGGAGTGGAGTGAGCTGTGTCCCTGTCCCCAGCATGGGTGAACTGGGGCCCTGTGGGCCACATCTACTTAACGGCCAAAGAGAATTATAAATAGGAATGGCTTCTCGTTGGGTTTTTCTTGTATGCTATCATTGAAAAAGAATTGAAAAGTGAATTACAATTCAGCACCATAGAGTAAGTGTATGCAGTCTGCTGCTAAATTTCTTTACTTGCACATATTAAGAATGAAAGAACAAGCTGAATACAATGGAAAAGGTCTTTTGGTTCTGATATTTGAGCTGTGCCAACTTACTCCCAGATGAATTTAAGCAATAACATGTTTTCTAAAGTTTAACCCTCTTCTGTTATTTTGTGTTCTGCTTTTTTTCCTAAATGGAATACACCTTCTGTGGAATAGCTAAATATATTTGTACAAAACTGAGAAAGAAATTGTTGTATTAAATAATCATATCTTTCAAAAATTCTTGCTAAGCATGTAAGTTAAACTTTCAAAAAACTGAATGAAACTGTTTTGCTATTCAGTTTATGCAGGTAAGATGCACAGCCATTTGATTTTTAAACCTGGAGATAAAGTTCTTTGTAATAAGGATGTATTTCCTCTAACATCTTTGCTTCTCAGATTGGAATTGACATTGAAATGACCAAATTGCTTGAATTCTTTCTGGCTTTTTATATGTTTTTATGTCACTACAAATACTAAAGTAATGGTCATTGCTTGGTGACTCTCAGATGACATCTTTGCTTTACCAATTTTGTGTCTTCCATTATCTTGTTATAGACATTTGTTCAATTTAGAGGAAGACAGAAAGATTGGAAGTTAGACTTTATGAAGCCCAAATGACTTCTGAAAGATCTTCTTAGGATTACCACTAATTTAGACTGAAGTGGAAGCATCCCATTCTGTAGTGCATTATTTGCCTTTTCATTGCCATCCTTAAAAGCAATTATTACTCCTCACAGTCATCATGTCTTAAAAGCTTCTGTTTAAATTGGCCATGGCTAAAGACAAAGTGAAAAGGAAACTGAGAATGTTGATTGAAGATACCAGTTTATTTCAGTTAGATGAATTTGGAGAGATTTTGAAAAATACTGATAGATTGCAATTGTCTGGACCGGCAATGATAGGTTGGGTTCGTAGGTGGGAAGATAACTGCACCTTAGACAAAAAAAACCCCACATAGCTTGTCATATAAATGACAATAAATGCTGGAACCAGCCACCCATGGCAGTTTTGGCCTCTAGGTCTGGACTCAGTTCTTCATTCACTGCCAGCTGATGTTATTGACGTCCTCAGGAAAACTGCTCAGAGGATCAGACCTGCCTGCCCTCTTCTGCCAGCATGTGAATGAAGATGCTGAAAAGCTGCAGCATGGAACAGCAGGGGGAATTCTCCATATCCTGCCAGAGAGCAGAGAGTACTGTGCTGAAGGACAGAGGTGTGGGCACACAGAAAGTGTCTGGACCTCTGAGGTTCAATTTCCTACCTCAAGGCAGAGTTACTTATTTATAGGAGTGGAGTGCTTCCAGCAGTAGCGACAGAGACCTTCAGTCTGAATAAACTGGTCCTAAGACTCATATAAAATCTCTAATAAGCCTCCAGCTGGAGCACTCCAGAAGCTGTAGAAGACAAGTTTCTGGAGTTTGTCTCAGAGCAGCCCCAGTTCCCTTCTGTGCTGCTTGTGGTATAAGTAGCACTGGGGTGCTAGGAAAACCACCAGTAGGGCTCTCTTTCAACATTTAATCTCAGAAAAGTTCAGATGCCCAAACTGTTCAGTGCTAGAGACGGGGCTCCCAGTTCTAGCAAGTGAGGCACTTGATCTATGAGTCCCATTCCCTTCCTCTGCACTTTCCCCCTCAATTTATGTCAACTAGCACCCTGCACAGCTACTTTCAGGGACTCACATTTCCCCACTGTACAACATATACCAAAAAAGTATCCCTTAGGTTGAAAAGATAGTCACCTCCTGTGAAAATGCAATGAGAGGTAAGTTAAATGTTGGTCCATTTTATTGTGCTAAAGAATATAAACATTTTACTATTGTTACAGGATATGATAAAATGTTCTTTTGTTAAAACATATGCTGGATAATCATGCCCCTTACCTGAATACACAATTTGAAAAAGCTCAGCAAAGGCAGAGTGTGCTTAAAAGTAAAATAAAAGCATGTGAGCATGAAGAGGAGAAGCAGAAATGACCGAGGCATGAAGTGTAACGAAGAGTGGTGCTAAAGCATCCCTTTAGCAGTAACACATAGCTCACAGAGGCCAACAGAAAGAAAACCTTACATCACCTTTTTTTTTTCCTTACTGCCTGAGGAGAAGGATGCAATTATTAATGAACCGTATAATTTCGCTCCAGCCTTGGGGCTTGCTGCCACAGTGCAAGGGAAGAGGGGACACTGTGAAGGTCTTCCTGGAGAGCTGGGCGACTCGATGGCCACGTACAGCTCCGGTAGCGACACACGATCACCGACAGGGGTAACGGAGCGCTCTGTCGCCAGCTGGAGGCGGTCTGGAGTGGGGGACCCAGCCCCATCCCTCGCGCTTCCCAGCGTCGCCGCCAGAGGATCCCGCTGCCTCGGCAGGAGGTGACGAGGGCGGGACAGGGCTGGCGGGCGGGGTGAGAGGCGGAGCCGCCGCGCGGGGTAGCCAAAGCCACCCCCGGCCGGGAGGGGAGGGGGCTGAGGGTTCGGCCACTCGAACTAGGGTGTAGCGTTGGACTTGCGCTCGCCGTCTCTCCGTAATCGCTGCCGGCGTATCTTTCCTCGCGGTCTTTTTGGCACGATACCATCTGGGTTCCTTATGCCGCCCACCCGGGCACTGGCAGAGGCAAGGCGGTCCCCAGCCGCCGCTGCCGGCAGAGCGAGCCCTTCGCGCCCCGGCAGCCGGCTCCGATGCTGCAGCACTGCCCCAGCTGTTCGCGCTGCCGGGCTCCCGGGCAAGAGGGGTTGGGGCCGAGCTAAGCTTTTATTTATTCAAGTTGTGTGCGTGTGAATACACACATTTTTCTATATGGCCAGCGCAGTAGTAGCCGGCGATGGCGAAACCCCTTCCTGCATGGAGGGCGCTTCCCGTCGTTTCTTCCGAAACGCGCGGGCACTGCGAACCAGGACGTGGGTACCGCGACCTCGGAGTCCTAAGTGATGTTTCCATAAGCACCAACCCTCAGAAAACCTTAAGGTGCCTGAAAACTCTGGCCGTGCTGCGATGCCGGCGCAGGGTGGAGCCCGGTACCACCGGGACTCATCGGCACTCAGCAGGAGTTTCTCCCGTCGCTGAGACGCGGCGGCTCCCCCGCTCGCCCCGTTCCGCCTCCCGCCCGCCCCACGGCGCCGGTGTTCCCGCAAACTTCACATCAGCGGATGGGCGTACTGCTTGACCGGCAACGTAGCTATTCCTGCTAAAATCCAGGCAACCCCCGAACTCCCGCCGACCCTTCCCTTCCTTCGTAATCTTCTCAAGGCAGCAGGCGGCCTGGATTGCACCTGCACTTCTCTGCTAGTGGCGGAAAAAAGCACAAGCCTTGTAACAATTGGCTATTAGAATTCACAGTAATGCAATTAGCCAAAGTAAACACGAAAGAACTGCTTTATAATCCAGTAAAGAGGCGTTTAGGTTGGAAAAAAACCAAACCCCGAAAGGCTGAAAAAACCCCTGAAGTGCATGACGAGGAATTAATTACCTGGCTCACAACGGATTTTGCCTAAGCTGTTTCATTCCTTCAATAGATAACTTCGTGAACAGAACTCCCTACAGCTAGCTCTTCTAGGCTTCATGTAGGAGTTATTCTAAAAGCAAGATTGCATCTTCCAGCAGATTAGGGTTTTTTTTTAATGTAATGTCATAATTAAAAACGACTCCCCCAGAACGTGGAAGTTGTATCTAAGGGAGGAGGAAGCAGAGATTTATACTTCCAAGATTTCTGATCACAGGAAAACGATCACTCGCTGTACCTCTAGCAGAGTTCTTCGTTTCCAAATTACCATTACGTAAGTGAAATTTTGCCACTTCTCATTCTGAAAACAAAGGGGGATATTCCAATTACCTGATGCCCGGAGCAAAGCTCCACACACCTGCAGAGAATCGAAGTCGCTAAAAATCAAATCTGTGCTGTTCCTTGTGGAGTAAAAAGACAAACGATGTCTAAACCCAAACTGGTTTTGACCTGAATATACTTGGCTGCTGTCAATTTCCGAGTTCTCATATCAGAAAATCCTCATTTGCTCCAAAGTTTACAATATATACATAAGTCCATGTAACTCGGTTTACAGCATCTCTCTTTTCTCTGCGTATACCTTTTACTGGCATACCTTGTGCATATATATGTGTCCATGCATTCATACAGTGCATGCAAACTTCTACGTACATCCAGCTAGATACAGAGCCATATTCGTCTATCTGTCCGTATAAGTAGCCGCACCAATAACATGGATCTGCGCCAATATGTACATCGGGATGCCCGTCCTTCCGATCAGCCCGAGACCAGCAACCGACCCTCTCCCTCC